GGCCCGGGGAGGGGCCATAATGGGGCATATTCCGGATTATACCGTGAGGTTCACCGCCGCAGCACCAGCGACCCGTAATTCGGTCATCTCCATTCCCGATTGGTCGCGTTTGATGCCACGACAGCAGGAGCCGCGCACCGTGGAGAGAGAGAGAGAGAGAGAGAGAGAGAGAGAGAGAGAGAGAGAGAGGGGGGGAGGGGGCGTTTAATGTGTGAGGCACAACCGCACAGTCATACAAAATCGATTCATTCACAAGTGTGCAAGTTGGGTGTCCAAGCGTCCAGCAATTATGTTGGGGAACCATCACTATGTTACTTTCCTCATATGGGAAGCAGTCATTTTTTTTTAAAGTTCTTGTTGGATCACTGTGAAAAATTTCGTTGTAAGTTGACAACGTTTGTTTTAATTTTTGTGTGTACACACATTTGTATACAAAATAAGTCGACAGCTCATTCTTGCTTATCCATCCCCTTGTAAATTTACAATATTAAATTATTGATTTTACGATACACGTCATGGTAATTTTTCCAGAAAACATACGACTATTTTTCACAGTGATTCGAACATTAAGAAGTGGTTCGCTCGGAACGCCCCCGACTCAAATATTGGAAGAGCGGTGACTCATACCATACCGTGTTGGTGGGCGGCGGGGATGGGCGGGACCACATAGGCGTCTTGGCCCTGGAGCGAGCGTTGCGTCCAACAGGACCACGGAGGTCATAAGGGCGACGGCGAGGTATAAGGTCCCGGACACGTCGGCCAGGGGAGGGCAGTGGCAGCAGCAGCCTTTGTGGCTCAAGAAGCCAACATTCCTGGACATCTCAGTGTGCTGGCGTGGGGCTCTGCGAGCGCAACAACTCGGGGCGCTTTAGCGAAATTGCTTTTTGGACGAGGAGCAGCAGCGGACCGTGCCGCGGTCAGATAAGGTTCAAATACCGCCAACGCCTAAAAATAAAGTAAACAAAACAGGAAATAAAAATGGCACACTCTCAGTCAGCAATCCTGCTTCGTTAAAACATAAAACTACAGCACAAAAAAATCAATCAGTACAGCAGGTGTACCAGGTGTCTGATTCACGCCGCGCACTTTCGTAGTTTATACTGAACTCCATGCACGGGGTGCGAGTCGGTGCGAGTACGTAGGCTTTCCTATTGTCGCTGCCCACGGCTCCTTGTGGCCCCCGGGCCCCGTGCGACTACGCAACCCGCCCGCACGCGTGCCTGAGGTACAGTATAACTACGAAAAAGCGTGGCGCGAATCGGCCACCTGGTATGTCTGATCCGCCCACCTCTTGTCTCGACGCCGGGTGAAACCGGAAGCGTAGAACCCGCGATCAGGTCACGCGCCTTGACCTCGCCGGACCTCGAACGGCAGCGATCAGACTTTTCGGTCAGAACAGAACTTTTAAAACTTTTGATTTCGTACAAATTGAGAAACAAACAACCTGGACGTGAACATCAGCTATCAGCCGCTGCCGCCCCGCCACAGTCCGGCCCGGCGACGCGATGCAACCGGAAGCTCGAGGCCCGGTCCCCCGCATCCAGCAGACTTCACTCTTCCGGCAGGAGGGCAAGGGATCACTCACGATTCTCTCTCTCTCTCTCTCTCTCTCTCTCTCTCTCTCTCCCTCTCTCTGGCGCACACAATCTGCACCTACATGAGCACCAGGGGGGCGTTGCTCCTGGCGGGGGAGTGGGGAGGGGCACCGCGCGAGGGCTCCTCGCTAGCTGGCTGGCTGGTGGCGCCCGGCGGCGCGGCGTGGCGCACCGCGGCTGGGAGGGGGAGGGGGGGGGGGGCGGACAGAGTCCTCTGTAGCTCCACCCACGTCCCTCTCTTTCTTTCGGGCCGAGCCGCACCGCGCCGCCTTTGGCGCGCCGCGTCTTCCCAAACTCTCTGTCTCGCTATCGCACACGTATATTTCACCTGTTTTCATTTCCTTCATCCCTCCCAATCTCACTGTATCCACTTTTCTCTCTCTGTCTCTCGTACGTCACGTGTTCGAAGTCGCGCAAAAGATTAGCACGCATAACAAAAAGCAAAACAAACAAAAATGAATGGAAATTGTGACGGTGTTCGTCGCGCGGCTAATCCGTCCCGATCAGCAGCCACATGCGGCAGTCGTCGTTCTAGGGGTTCCTCCGCCCCACCCCGCCCTGCCCCGGCCCGCGCCGGTGAAACCGATCACCCGCGAAAGCCCCCCTTCCCCACCTGCCCCGGGCCTCTCCGCTGACGAGATGACGCACCGCCGGAAGTACAACACGTGGAGCGGGGCGGCGCGTGCGGGCGGCCGGGGACGCCGTCGTAGGGCTTCGGCGTGTCCGGGGCCGGGCCAGGCGGGAGCACCGGGGCCGACGCGCGCCTCAGGTAGCCTGTAACGCCGCGCGCACCGCAGCCGGGCCGCATCGTACAGGCGTCGGCATGTCAGGCCCTCTGCTGGAGGTCGCCGAGTGCTCGCCCTGAGCCACGTCGGCCAGCCACGTCCGCTTTCGTAAGAGTTGGGACTACCAGGTGTCCAGGCGAAGACATGCCAGTACGTTGGTTTGCCTATGCACTGACTGCAAGGGCTGCAGGCGGGAGCTGCCACTCCTCCGCAACCCTTCAGTCAGTGCATAGGCAACCCAATGTACTGCCATGTATTAGCCTGGCTACCCGATACAAGATGAAAAGCGGTTCGGCCTGCTTCACTCAAGTCGAGGCACGGCAAGGCGCCTGGCGAGTAGGCACCCAGCCCGCACCCATGCAAGGCGGCACAGTCTGGTGCAGTCCACATCTGCGAGTGCAGGGGTCCGAATCACTCGCCTGCTGCGTCTGCGTACATGACGAGGACAAAGTTTAAGTTCAAATGGGGTAAAGGCGTTCGAAAGTTCACACGAACTAAATCCGGGTGAGCAGAAATGTTATTCTGTCAAAGTGCAGCGCAGCGCGCGTCCGCCGAGTCCCCTCCGAGCGAGTCGAAGTGCGACCTTTGCAAGGTTGTGGCGCAGGGGCGCAGGCGGCGCAGGGCAAGCACCACACTGGCAGCTCCTTGCTCGCCCGCCCGCGGCTCCCGCCCGCTCGCACGCACTGCCCCCGCCCGCCCAGCCCCGCCCGAGGCCTTCCCCGGATACGTTTCCGGCCCTGACCGCCGGCCAGAACTACAAGGCCTGCCAACCACGGAGCGCACCGCCCCGGCCGCGCCGCCGCCGCCCGCCGCCACTGCCGCCAACCCAAACGCGAACGAAGTTAGCGAGCCCGCCCGCAGCTTCTGACATCTACCTCCCCATCTGATTTATTCTCCGCTGGCCCCCCGGGGGCCCCCTGGGGGCGGGGGCGGGCGAGCTCGCGGCCAAGCATGCTGGTGGGCACGGGGGCGGGCACGGGGGCGGGCGAGGTTCTCGTTTTCGCCTCGCGCGCCCCGTGGTGCGCGCCTGGTGCCCGGCGGCGGGTTATGGACTCTGGGGAGAATATCGCCCCACCGCCCTGCCCCTCTCTCCCCGACCCGCCTCCCTCTCCCTTCTGCAGCTCTGCGGTCTGATTCGCGGTACCTAACAAGCGTAACCGACCAGCGCGCGCGTGAACTCGACTCGGCCCGTCTCTCTCTCTCTCTCTTTCCCGCCCTCCCTCAGAACCACACCGCACAACGTCTTTGCTGCTTCAACGACCTCCTCTTTCCTTTTCACCCTCGCCTATACTACAGCCAGCCACTACCCCTCCCTTTCCCTCTATCCTCTCCCATTCGTTCTCCTTTCCCCGCACCCCCCACCTCCTCCCACTCTTTCACGTAATGATAATTGTCAAAATAATCCCTCGCCCACAATTTCTCTTTTATCGGGGTCCCGACACCATGACGGCAGTTCTCTGGCTGGCCGTTACCAACTGTACAACAACTTTTACCCGCACCGTCCGCCAAACTTTTTTTTTCCTTATTTTTCCCCCTCTCCGCGCTCCTTCCTGCGCGCCTTTATCGCTGTATTTTATTTTTTTTCCGCCCTTCCCTTTTTTTTTCTACCCCTTTTGCTGCCGGCCCAACCGGTAGCGATGCAGCGACCTTTCGCTTCCGGGGCGCCCGCGTGTGGGCGTGCCCTCTCTCTCGTGCTCGTGTGTGTGTGTGTGTGTGTGTGTGTGTGTGTGTGTGTGTGTGTGTGTGTGTGTGTGTGTGTGTGTGTGCATATGCGTCGTGCCCCCGGAGCCCAGGGCTGGGAGCTCCCGAGCTCCCGGGCTCGGACCGGCACTCAAGAGCCCCCCGGAGACGGAAATCCTCTGTGTCCGGGCCCGGGCGTGCCCCCCCCCCCCCCCCTCCGGCCGGCCAGTTGTCAGTCTAGTCTAAATCGGCTTGCCATGGGGGGGGGGGGGGGGTGTGGGGGGGGGGGGGGGGGGGGGGGGGGGGGGGGGGGGGGGGGGGGGGGGGGGGGGGGGGGTTGGTAAAGGGGAAGGGGGGTAAGCCCTTTGCACTGAGTGAAACTGATAAGGCCAGCTGGATCAAGCCGAGCAGGGCCGCGCGCTCGAGCCGGAGAGCTTGCTGGAGGCCACGGCCGCTGCAGTAGTGGCCCAGTACACGTGCCATACCCGAGGGCCATTCCGTTCTGTTACATCACTCACTCACACACACTCTTTCTTTCTCTCTCACTCACACACACACACATGCCCACACACGCGCGCCCAACAAAGTTAAAAGTGTGCCATATATGCAGGAACACTAGCATGCCATAACACAAAAAATAAGAAAAGTGAACAGAGGACCCCCCCCCCCCCTTTCCACCTCCACTCACACAACCGTGGGAATAATCTACGTCTGAAAAACTTTCCGCGGATCATCCGTATGAGAAATCACGCGGGCCGTATCGGACTGCGCAGCTCGCCTCCGCCCCGCCCCTGTCCCCTCCTCCACCGCTGCGCCGCCCTCGCCGCCGCCGAGGCTGCGCCACCCCCGTCGCCCCCTGGACGCCCGGCCGCTCGCCCTCACTGCCCGTGAACGCCGAGTTTCTTTCAAAGTTTCGCCGGCCAAACTCAACACCCGCTGCCCCGCCCCGCGCAGCAGATGACGTGGTAACGCCGCGAAGACGTCCGAAAAGCGGCAGGACGGCGACGGCAGGCCTCCCCCCCCCTCCCTGAGTGAGACATCTCGTCTTTAGAATCGGGTAGAAAGGGGCGAGAAAACGGCGCTTTTCTGCACGCAGTAGATCGAGAAGGAGGGGGGGGGGCGTCTAGACAGCCGGCTGCGCCAGCCCTATAGTAGTTTGTTCTCCGAGTCTAACTTAATTAATCTATTCCCGGCCGGTGAAGTAGTCAGGAGACACAGGTGGGTAATTCGCCCCCCCCCCTTCCCTCCCCGGTCCTGCTCTCCTGCCTCACTCCTATTTTGGCTAACTTGCTCCTTTGCTCTAAACTTGCCAACTGCAAGGAAAAAATCCGGCCTGCAGTCACCGTAGAGGTGAATAAATTCTCATTCAAATGACAACATATTTTTCTGTACTTCTGCATTATTTTACTTTGCTATACTTGGGTGGCCCTGACTGAGTTCAAACAGTTTTTAATTGAAGAAATGATCTACAAAATTTGTCTCTGTGAGATATTTGTTGTTCAGGAAAATTTTCCAAGGAAGGTGTCATACAATTACAATTCAATACTGTAAAATTTATGAGCATTCTTGAAGCACACAACTTGAAATCCATTGACAAGCAAGATTTCAATGTTGTACAAGTACAATATGTTTTGTAAATAGTATCTTACAAAATATATTGTACATCTACGAATATATTTTTTAAGAGTATGCTATAAGCCATTTTTTTTTAATATAGCAATACTTGAACGGTCCTGAATAATCAAAAATAGCCACCTCAAAAAAGTCCCACCAAGACGGACATACAGGGGCTTTGTCACAACGCTAAAATTGTAGTGATTCGACAATTTCATTTTCCATATAACAGGGAAAGGTTAACAAGAACAAGGGATAGCTACTTTTGAATGTCGAGATAGAACTGTCAGATTAGTGAGAGTCCATCAAATCTAACCTCTAACCTGAACAGAATATATTTCCATATGCTTTGGACACTTACCCTTTATTTTTTATCATTATGACTGAGAAGTTGATTTTCCAACAGCACATAGTACAGCCAGAGTTTCCACTTGCATGAATAACACATAACTACATATGTGTACACAGTAAAGGTGAAGAGACTTTACTGGCAAGATGACACACTCCCAGTCACCTTGCTCCCAGTCTTCTCTTACAAAAATCACGTAGGTTTACTAGACTTTGTATCCTATTCATTTAGTGGCAGTAAATTACAGAAATACTGAACACAAGCACAAAATAGGCGAAAAATAAATAGACCCTAAGCGAACACTTGACTCTTGTAAACATTCATTCATTCATTTTTTGGGGTATGAAAAGAAAAGAAAACAATGGAAATAGTGACCGGCAGTTGTCTCTAAATCATTATGACTTCTGTCTTAAAGAATAAAAATAAAAAGTAGTTTTCACAGAAAAAATGTCCTCTTTAAAGTTGCTACTAATTGTTTGATGTGCATATGGTGGCCGTTGCACAATCGGTACTTGATGACTAAATATTAGTGTTGCAGGTTGCAGTTGGCAGCATTTTTTTAAAATGTTACTGTTCTTCTTGTTCTTGTTTTGGGGTTAGTTGTCGTCGTCTGGTCGTCGCGTCGCGTTCGTTGTCGCTGTGATGTAACGATTTATGTTGCAAAGTGTATTGTTAGTGTTTTATTAAAATGCCGCATCATTACAGATTTTCTGTGTGAAAATACGGTGGCGTGATCTCTGAATCTATGACTTTTTCGATGCGGGCAGCACAAGTCATTGTTTGATATGTTTCGAGGTTTGACCTTGACCTGCGACTCGTGCGACTTGCCCGTCGTTTTACTTTCCCAGCAATGAGCAGGTGAGCAGGGGATGCTTTGCAAACAAAACTGGGGGATTTTGTCTCGTGGAGCGAGTTTACTCGCGGGGAGGAGCATCAGCTGAGGCAGCTCGCTTCAGAGGTTTTCAGCCCATTACAGTCCTCAATAACCTCTTTAGGGGAGCTGTCTAAATCCACTAGAGAAATGAATTATAGGCTGAGGCTCAGAAGACTGTCGACCTCTTGGCTGACAATAGTCTCATGTCTTGTTTTTTTTCTCAGTTCAAGTCTTGATTTAAATTGTAGATTTTATGTTATGGACATTTTTCTCATCAATGGTAATCAGTATCGTAAAATTTCTGAAATAATTTGTTTGTTTTTATTACGAAGTATCCAAACATTGCAGTTTATTTGTGCTCCTCTGAATTACAGCAACTCATTTCAAAATCATCTTCGACAGTACTTTATCTTGTGATTTTGCAATCAGTTTCGTTTGTCTGTCAGAAGTTTTCTCCGGTTTTCTTTTTCGGCAGGGTTTCTGGCTGGTTGTGGAGGATGTCCCGTTGTCCTTGCAGTGTACCTGGTGATTGCTGGCTTCCGGGAGATCGATACCAGCACCGCCTCCTTCGTGCCCACCCACGGCCGCCCGCCCCGGCCCGCCCTGACCACCTGTCACCAAGATGAAGAAGACCCCCAGGCGTGGGCAGGCCAGCACTAGCCAGCGACAGTGAGTACTCTGCCAACATTCGAGCGAAAACTGTCTCTCCTTGATTGGACAAGAGTGCGGCCGACACCATAGGGTACACCAGGGCCGGTCGGGCGCGGGGAGGAGGGGGGTACTGCCCCCACCCTGCCCCCACCCTGCCCCGCTCCTCCCCGCTCCCGACGATTTTTGTTCTTCACCTTCCGGTCTAGCCGAGCCCCGGAGTATGTACTCTATTCAGCCACCGATTTCTTCCCTCGGTTTTCTTTGTCCAATTCCGGTTGGTCGGCAAGCGGTCGGTGCTCGGTCGGTCTGGGTTGCCGGGTCGTAGCGATGCGCGATCTGTTCCGAAAATCTGTTGACTACATTCATATTAGGTCACCTACGCGAGAGAATCGTGGGCCCTGCGAAAGGACGTCCGAGGGGGGGGGGGGCGTGGGTCGTAGCCCCCACGACGTCCGAACCACACGGTGGCAGAGGTCGGACACACGACTGCAAGTGTCGGGGATGTCGTGGAAGGTGACGCGGCTCGTGAATTTCGCATGATTCGGCGGCGCTCTCATGAAGGCCATGGCAGCGTTGAAAGCTTGCGGTGAATTTCACCGAAAGTTACAGCTGAACCCCAAGGTACGGCGAGTGCTCACCGTCGGCTAGCGGTGGGTGTCACTGTAAAACTTGTTGTTCAGCGTATGTTTCGGATGAAAATTTACCAGTTGACTATCCACGCAGTGCTGCAGGGTTTACTTCTGTGAAAACATTCACCGCAAAGCTTTTACAAGTGCAGCTCAGCCTGCGTGATGCACGTCATCTGCCTGACTCCCCCCCCCCCCCCCCCCCCCCCCCCCCCCCCCCCCCCCCCCGCCCGGCCGTACGAACGGTATGAGAAATTGCTCGGCCCTTGCTGCTGACAGCCACCGGTCGGTCATGCAGTTACGCCCCCCCCCCCACCCGCTCCCCTCTCTCTAATGACAGTGCCATCGCCGATCATTAAAGCGTTGGCCGGACTCGCAAACCTCCTGTAGTCGGCGGCCTCGGCCCGGTACGGACTTCCGCTCTTCATTTGTATTTGTGAATGTAACGACATTTTTCTATGTATATACGTTTAGGTAGGGCGGTGGTCAAGGGCTGGGTAGGGGGTGACGGGGAGCCGGGCTGAACGAACAGGCTGCCCGTAATAACCGTTGTTGTCGCGATGTTGTGCGTGAAATATAGGAAAAGTTTGGGGATATGGTTGGGCCGATGTTCTATACCGCTGGCGCACTGGCGTGCACAATTGCGTTTTTTTCTTTTTTGAAATCTTGTCTCAGTTGACGTTTTCTAGTATCATGCCTGTCTCTTTTCATATTTTTATTGTTAAATTATTTTACTTTTTTTTTGGTGGTGAACGCGGCGCGCGTGAAATATGAAGCTGCCCGGCTCGGCGCTGCCGCCGCATGCTACTGCAGTTTTGCCGAATTGCGGT